CCCGTCCACGCCCAGACATTGCCAATCCACCTCAGCACTCCTGCAAGCCTGCACTGGGCTCCAGCATCCTTCTCAACGCAGCACTCCAGGCAGCCACTATCAATTAACTGGAGTTGGCACATGACAGAAAGCTTATGTGCCCGTTCTTAGCTGAGATCTGGGGGAGGAATGAGTCAGAGGGTGGAGAGGGAGCAGGGTAGGAAACAAAGTGCCAGTATGCAAAGGCCTGGAGGGGAGACAGAGGGAAGTGTAAGAGGTTCCGGGTGGTGGGTGGGGGGCACATGGTTGGGGACTGAAGGAGGCTGGCAGAAGTCAGAGGAAATAAGTGCTGAGTGACAGACTATGGAGTTTAGACCAAAAAGGGGACTTACAGGCATCCAGGTAAGAGTGACGAGTGGCCTCATCAGAGGGGTGGGGAGGGAGAAATGGATGGAGTCAAAGACAGGAGTGAAATGGTGGAGCCCAATTATGGATTAGATGTGGCGTATGGGTGGGGGGAGCTGTCGGGGAGAAGCCCAGGTTTCCGGTTTGGGCGGCCGGGAGATGGTGGAGCTGTGCACTCCCACAGGGTAGAAGGCTCTGTGGCACACCCCCATATCCCCTGACCCTCCCCACGTCAGTGCTCGCTGATGTCTAACTGCAGTACCTGCATTCCTTTGCCTACATGTCTCTGGCCCCCGAGGAATCTCTTTGGTCCCTGGGGCCCACGGCGCCACAGGAAGGGCAGAAGAGTTCATCGGGAGCAGCTGTTTACCAGTAACTGATGAGAGTCGGAGTATAATTATTTCAGCTCCCTCACCTCCTGGGGGACGACTCAGGCGCATGTTCCACACTGGCTCCCAGAGTCCCCATCAGGACCAGGCTCTGGTTGCCCACGGTGGCAGCTGCCTTCTTAAAGCACATGGTACTGGAGGCATCCCTTGCCCTGTTTCCCTCGTGTGCTCCTCCACCATGGTCTTCAGGAATCACCTCCCAGTGTGAACTACTTGCACTCGAATCATGTCTCGGGTCTGGTCCCGGGGAACCCAAACTAAAGCAGATGGTCACCAGGAGTATCTCAGGATTCAGCAGGCCTTGTTCTTGTGGCCCTTTCTCAGGGGGCTGGAGTCTCTCCCTTTGGGGGAGATGGGCCTCCCAAACCCACAGTGGTCCCCTTCCATCCTTAGCATACAGAACCCCAATTTTCACTCAGACAGAAAGAGGCCCAGGGAGAGAAAGCCCTTCCCCAGCCCCAGGGGAAAAACCACAATTGGTCCAACACGCTGAGGCCTGCGGAGGGAAGAGATGGAGGGACTCGGGTCCTTGATGGCATCATCCAGCCACTAAACCGTGGTGGACGCGTCCACCTCCAGAAATCTTGATAAATGCAGCCATTAAATGAGGGCAAGAGTCCAGTGTGATGGTGAAGGGCAGACTCCAAATGCCTGGATTTGAATCCCCACTTACCGACCTTGGGTAAGGTAATTCACCTCTCTTGGCTTCCGTTTCTTCGTCTGTAGAATGGGGACATTAACAGGCCCAGCGTCATCAGGTTGTCGTGAGAATCAAACGAGTTGATACGTGTAAAGCCCTCAGCATGGTGCCTGCACGTGGCTAGTGCTCTGTAAGTGTTGGCTCTGGAACATTATCACTGTTAAGCCAGGGCTTCTCAACCCTAACGTGCACACGAACCACCAGGGGATCTTGTTCAAGTACAGATTCTGACTCAGTGGGTCTGGAGGGGAGCCTGAGATGCTGCATCTCGGGTCTGGTCCTAGGGATCTAACGAGCTCCCCTGCGATGCCAATGCTGCTGGACTGTGGACCACACTTAGAACAGCGAGGGCTGAGGTCACTGTTAGCTGGCATTGTGTAACCTGGAGCCCAAGGATCTTCAGTGACAGGATGGGATACCCCATAGAACCCATTCCCCAGCCCCAAGACCTGGATAGGATGCAGTATTTCTAAATGCTTTGTCAGAGGAAGGCAGGGTCTGTGAGGGGTGCAGCCCAATGTCTGGCACACTGTGGGTGCTTGGAAACCCCTGCGCCCACTTGCAGGAACACACACGCCCGGTGATCCAGTGCACAGGTGGACCCGCAGCGCCAGGGGCCACAGGCTTGCGGGGGCTGCTCAAGCGCGCTGGCTCCTTGTAAGCCTCAGCTGTGCTGGCAGGAGCCCAGGGGGAGGACGGTCACACCCCCTCCTGTTTCAGAGCCTGGCATCTGGGTCCCACCAGAGCCCAAAATACCTCCAGAACAAAGAGACCGACCACAGCTCAACGTCCCCACCTGTCCTTTCTACATCCCTCCCTTGCCCTAGTGTTGGGTGGGGTGGTAGAAGCTGGCTGGGCTCCAAGACTCAGCCCCTCTCAGGAGGGCAAGGCTCCCCTCTGCTGGACACAGCAGCCTCCAACCCACCTGATCCCTCCTCAACTGGGCTCAAGACACCCACCCCAAACCTTTTAATAATCATAATCGCCACAGCCAACATTGATCCTCTTGCTCTGTGCTAAGCACTTTATAGACACGATTGCACAAGAGGTGGCTCACTGTATCTGTTAGGATGCAATTGGCCACAAGAATAAAAATATCCAACTAACAACAAACAACAATAATCATAGCTAATAATAATAATGCTTGCTATGTGTCAGTCACTGTTCTAAGTGCTTTTACATATATTAACTCACATAATCCTCACAATTCTATTAGTGGTCTGTACTACTATTGTCCCCTTTCTATAGATGAAGAAACTGGGCTCAGAGAGGTAAAGTAACTTGCCCAAAGCCACACAGCCACTAAGAAGCAGAAATGAGGCACAAACCAGGGTTGTCCAAAGTCCTGGCTTGGAACCTCTCTGTAATGCAACCAGACTCTCTGGTCCCTTAAAGCACATTACAGCAAATGACAAGAGCCACCTCCTAAGCACCTGTCACGTGCAGGCATCATCTCATTTCTTCCCCACGACACCCTCCTATGCTGCTGCCCTAGGACACGCCACGTGGCCTCTCCGAGCCTCCATCTGCTCTTCCGTGAAATGGGACATGGGTTTGACCCCCTGCTGCTGCTCATGGCACGCTGCCTTATCTGTGATCTTTTCCTTCAACCTGCCCGTGAGGCCAATACACAAGATGTTTACAAGCCTCCTGAAGCTTAAGAGGCCAAGTGACACGCCCAAGGCCACCCAGGGGATCACTGGCAGAGCCAGAACTAGGACCCAAATCTCCTGACCCCTGAAACTCAGCAGGGGCCCACAGCCACCCAGATGCCTAGAATTTCCTCCTCCAAGTTTTGCTGCCGTGCCAAGTTTCTCAGGTTGAAGAAGAATTTGTTCCCTTCCTCCTCCTCCTCCTCCTCTCCCTTCCGCCTGTCCTCCTCCTCTTCTTGCCCTCCGGAAAGTCTCCCGAGGAGGTGGGTGGAACAGCAGCGTCTGCCGAGGCCAGGCCATTCAGAGAGGCCGGAGATGCCCAGTTTAGGAGGCGTGGGGGAGCGAGGCCTTTAGGCAGCAGAAGCCCCCAGCTGCGAAGCAGGGCCAGAAATGGGAAGGGAGCAGAAGGTGGCAGCTGAGCCCCAGGCCCACCCCTCAGTGGGCGTCTGGGTGTCTGCCCTTGGACAAGCCACTTAAGCCAGCGCTGTCCGATGGAACTTTCTGCAACGATGGAAACATTCTACTTCTGCACTGTCCGATATGGTTGCCACTGGACACGTTGCTACTGAGCACTTGAAATACGGCTAGTGCGACAGAGAAACAGAATATTCGATTTTAATTACTTTACATCGGAATAGCCACATGTGTCTAGTGTCTACTGTACTGCACAGCATGGCACTCAACTTTTCCAAGCCCATCTTCTCATGTGCTCGACAAGGATCCTGACACCCCATCTCTCCCTGGCTGAGGATGTCTGAGACAATGAAGCGATGTGGTCTCACGGAACGGGCCCCGGCTGAGAGTTAGGACTCCTGGGTTCCACACCTATCAACATGCTGTGTGATCCAGGGCAACTCCTCAACCTCTCTGAGTGCCCTGGTCATCTGTACAATAGGGAAGTCACTTTGGATCACAGTTTCTTTGCCAGAGAGCCATGGATGGGCTTTAGGGGAATCTGGGAATCCCTTAGTTATAAGAAGAGTGTGTTTGTATGACTGTGCTTGTGAGAATGAGTGTGTGTGTGTTAGGGTGCTCATGCATCTACTTGTCAGGGAAAAGCAGGCCGAAAGCTTTCCCAAAATTCTCAAAGGGGTCCATAATTGCTCCAAAGATAAGAACCCCCAGTCTAGATTGGTCTTCTTTCTCCCAGGGAGCCTTTTAAAAACGGAGTTCCTGGACTCCACTCCCAGAGACCCTGATTCAGCAGCCTGGATGCGGGGCCCTGCGATCTGTATTTGTAACAAGCTCCTGGTGGTTCTGATGTACAGCCAGCGGAGAGAAACACTGGCGAGGAGCCAGTTGGACCTAGTGTTTTATGACTTGATATATGTGAAACTCCTTATCAAGCAGTAGTATATATTTTTAAAAACCAACTGGGATTTAAGAAACTAAGAAAGTAAAGAAGAAACAATAATGATCATAATAAAGCCCCTCTCGACCCCCTTCTGTATTTACCAACACTGATACAGGGCACTTACCTGCCAAACTCTGTCCTATGCTTTTTGTGAATATCAACCCATTTACTCCTCGTAACACCCCTATGAGGTTGGTACTATTATCCCCATTTTACAGATGAGGAAACTGAGGCACAGAGAGGTGGCTTGCCCAGGATCACACAGCTGGTGCGTGGGGGGGCCAGGATTCAAACCTAGCAGCCAAGCACCAGAGTCTGTGCTCTACACTCTCCCTCGGAGCTTCCTTGCTTCATCACCCCCCTTCTGAAGATGGGGACAACCCAGAAGCCCTGAGTCAATGTCCCTAGCAGCCTGAGGCTGCCCCAGAGCTCCTGAAGGGCATTGCTCAGTCCCTCCTGCCCCACATCAGAGACTGTGAGAGTCAAGAGGGCCAGTGGGCAGCACCGGGCCTCACACTCACTTGCCCTCCGAGCCGTAGCTGTTCATGCTGTCCTCGATGGACTCGTGGCTGGCCTGGCGCAGCGTCCGGCTGGGCATCTCTACCGCCAGGCCCGTCTCCGTGCTCCTCTGGATGGCCCCCTTCAGCCTCCGGCTGTCCCCTTCTGGGCAGAGAGGCCAAGAGAGATGGGGAGAGAGACATGAGGTGGAAGGGGATGGAGAGACAAGTCATCTGGTTAGTGTTACAGTGGCTGCTGGCTGCCAGCGTCAGCCCCCACCCCCAGTCCATCAACCTCCTCCTGCCATGGCCTCCCCTGCACCTGCTCTCCCTGGGCAGCCCTGCCCTTCACACCCACTCAACAAGCAGATCACATGAGTCCTGCTAACTGACGGATTCATTTACATGTTCTTTTTCTCCCCTTTGAATTCATTTCTCCCCTGCAACCTTCTCCAAATCCTTTCTCCTCCTCCTCTCCAGCTACTATTTATCGAGCACCTACTATGTGTCACACTGTCAAGTGCTTTGCATGGATTCAGACCAGGGTTTCTCCACCTCAGCACAACTGGTAGTGGGGACGGGATACTGTTGTCAGGGGTGTCCTGTGCATTGCACAAGGTCTAACAGTACCCCTGGCCTCTACCTACTAGATGCTGGTAGCAGCCTCCAGTCCAGTTGCAGCAATCAAAAATGTCTCCAGACATTGCCGCATATCCCCCGTGGGGCAAACATCACCCTGGACTGAGGACCACAGATTGAGACCATCAGCTCAGAAACCAGACTGCCCAGGTTGAAATCCTAGATCTCCGTCTCACTGGCCGTGAGACTTTGGGCAAATTACTCAGCCTCTCTGTGCCTCCGTTTCTTCAACTGTGAAATGGAATAACAGGCTTATTATGAGGACAACGGCCCTCCGCCCCTGCTAGTCCCTCCCTTTGAGCATCCTGTCTCCCTCCAGCAGCTCACTCCTTCACTTTCACTCTGACCAAATGTCATTTTATCTGAGACCCTCCTTGCACTCGGGCCCCTCCCACCCCCGCCCCTCTCTGCCCTATTGTCCTGTTTGGCTTTCTTCCTAACACTCACCACCCCTGATGTGTTGTACACTGTTGGTTTATTGACTAGCTTCCTCCACGTAGAGGGTAAACTCCGTGAGGACACGGAACTTGTCTTGCTGACCGCTGAAGCCGCAGGGCCAAGGCAGGGTCCAGCCACTGTGCGTGCTCCATTAATAACCGCTGGATGAGCGAGTGTCTGCCTGAGAGCGGTCCTAATCGCCAACCACCCATGAGGCGGATGCGCCTGCTCGCCCCGCTTTAGCATCAAGGACGTGAGGCACAGAGGTTAAGTGACTTGTCCACGCCCATGGAGGCAGGTGGCGGCAGAGCCAGGATTTGACCCCAGGAGGGTCCCTTTGCTCCCTGCTCCACAGCCTGGTGATCGAGGTAAGCGTTCCATCTCCCACCACCCTGTGGGTTTGCTACAGGAGGCGGCAGATCTTTAGCGGGCTCTTCCCCAGGTCCCCACAAACTCTGAGACAAGCTGGCGGACCTCAGGGGCTTCCTCAGTGCTTGCTGAGCAACCCACCAGGGGAAAACAGTGCCACCCAAACCCCACCATCCTGCTTGGCAAGAGGGAGCTGAGTCTGTGTGCAAGGAGACAGAGCGAGGTCAGGACGTCTCCCCCGGCCTCCCTCCTCCAGCTCAACCAGGGTGTCGCCTTCCTCCCTGACTTTAAGACACACACACACACACGCAGAGACACAGATGCTCTGTGTCTGTTTTTCAGAGTGTGTGCCCACAAGTTTCTCTCCCACATGTATCTGTGTTATTCAGATGCACAGACGCCCACACACTCAGAAAAAACAGAGTAACACACATGCACAGGAATCTACATGCAAAGACAGAGTGTGTTAAGGTATCTCCGAGTGTTGATATCTGTGTTTCCATGGGTCTCCATGTACCTATCATTCTGTGTTTCTGAGGCTAAATGGGTATGTGTATCTGTGTGTGTGCCAGACACCCACAAAGACACACATCCGTAAGAAGTATATGCCAACCCACTCAAGAAAGCAGAGAGAAACTGTGCATTTCTATGTGTGTCTCACCCTGAGTGTTTCTGAACACGTGGGGGGACACGTGTGTCCCTGGGTCTATGCTCCCCTTCATTCACCATTTGTTTTTTCCCTAATTTATATCTGTACCCCCCCCAACCATTTCTATGTTTCTCTGTGTATAGCAGATACAGAGACACAGAGAAAGATCCAGAGACATACACCACGTGCTCACTCAAACACACAGACTCACAGGCACAGAGAGACGTTCCTCCATTCACATACACACAAGCGCAGTCATCCATCCAGGGACAAACGCCCCTCCCAACTAGGGACCCCGCAGGCAGGCTGCAGACTCCTGCCTGGGCTTTATACCTCACACCTCCCTGTGAGCCCTGTTCTGGAGCCCCACCGGCTCGTCCCCACCCACCAGGGTCTGACACATTTCTCTCGGGAAAAGGGAGGGCCAAAAAGCATGACAAACAACTCAGTCCCCACGGGGCTGAGGAGGAGGTTTGGAGAGGTGTGCTTCACATCTCTGTGGCGTTCTACAGCCCCAAAGCACTTCACATACAGTATCCTATTCGGAGCACCACCCAGGTGAGACTGATTCTGCCATCAGATGACCCAGGCATAGAGTCCTGGCTCTGCAACCACTAACTGAGACCTTGGGCAGGCCGGTAGCACTTGCTGTTGAGAGGGTTAAATGACAGAACATTCACCACAGAGCTTGGCACACAGTAGGTGCTAAAGAAAAGCAGCCACAGCCACTGCAGAGAAAGACCCCCCAGTGCTTCCCAAATTTGCCCACGCCAACCGTCTTGCATGTTCCTCCTGACATGCCACCTCCCCCACCTCGGAAGTCCCCAATTTGGGGACCATGGTTGTACCCAACCACATTGACAAGGTCCACCATCTGAACTCAGCTATCTAACCCTTCCTTTTGTCATCTCTTGCTGACTCAGTCACAGTCCTCAAAGTGGCTGTCCCAATGCATTCCCACTCCCCACCCTGTAACCCCATCCATCCCAACAGATGACCTTTCTCCCCCTGGCTGAAAAGATGTGTCTCTTTGACTTGCTCTTTCTCATTTCCAAATTTCAGCATCCTCAGACCTTTCAACCTGCCCCTCGACCCTCCTTTCCTCTGAGAGGAAGGGGTGACCCTTCTCCTGGCCAAGGCTCACCACCATCTGTTCTCTCCATCCCATCTCCTCCCACCCTCACTGGGACCTCCCCCCACCAAGTGTCCTCTCTGGGCCTTGAATCTACCACTTCTCACCTTCTGGCTCTTTCCACTCCTCCTACAAGCCTGCTCAAGGCTTCACTTCTTACACCATCTCCTTCAACCAACAAACTCCTTCAGAGAACAGCCTCTGGCCATCACGTCACCAACCACACACTCTGATTTGCAGTATGGCTTCCAGCCCGCCACTCCGTTCACATGCCTAACTAAACCAGTCTCCAATAACTGCTCATGACCACATACAAGGGCCTTGTCTCAGTCCCCAACTCCTGAACTATGGTGCTTCCATTCATTCAACAAACATTGACTCAGTGTCTTCTTATTTACTGGGGAGCCCTTGTGAAGATGCTAAACACACTTCTAAGTGCTGGTCTCTGCTGATAAAACACACGGATGGGAAACAGAGAGGAATTTCAGCCCCTTCTTCTGATCCATAAGGGCCCAGAAATAGACCCTGGCTGGACCCGCTGTAGCGGACAAGGTTGATGCTCCACCCACATCCCCACATATCTCCCTTCTTCCCACTTTTGTGAGGCCCCTCCACATGGGCTTCTGAAAGCCACTACCTGCCAATGTTTTTTGTTTTTAGGTCTTCCTTTGGGCTACTGAGCCCACTTTGCCCCCACACAGGCAGAGGCAGAAGTGCCTGGGAATTTATGACCCCGACACCCTTTATCTAAGCCTAAATGGAACAGGAGAGTGAACCCTCAGGTCAGAACTCTGACGTAGAACCCAGGCTCCTGAGGAGCCGCCCTCTGTGGGATCTGCCTAAGGGCACATCCCTTCCTGCTTTCCGTGTTCCCAGTCTCCTTGGGGAGCACCTCCTTCATTCGTGTCACCTGCACACGAATCTCATCTCAGGGTCCTTTTTGGGGAAAGCTGACTTAAGACACCTGGCCTAGATGGCACCCTGAGGAAGTCAAAGTTCAAAAATCTTTGCAGAGGTGGGTTCCAGCATCACACAATAGCAACACACTCCCTCCAAGAAACGTGGTGATAAGAAGAGCTGTTGCATAATGAATACAGGCATGAGGAGGGCCAGCTTCCGAAGGGATGGTTTAGGGGAGCAAATGCATCACCCATGGGTGTCATAACACTCCGCTGGACAGGCTTGGAGTTTATTGTGAGACTGCCCTTGAGGCTGGCCTGTGATGTATAAATAAATGGAGTTTGGATGACCTATTTTTGGCTACCCACTCACAGTCGCTGCACCCAAAACTCAAACTGCGCAGCGTGAATTTTCTCCCACAGGGTCCTGGGTCCCTCCTCTCCCAACTTGGGCAGAGTATGTGTATTGAGCGGGGCAGGGTGTGTGGGGAGAAGGTGTGTGGACAGCTGGAGTCCTGCCAGGAGGCAGCAACAACTTGGGGTACCAAGACCATTGTGTACCAAACACCACGCCTGATGCTGGGGATGGAAGAGAGAGCAAGAGTGGTGTGGTCCCTGACCACGGAGCTCACAGTTCAGAGGGGCAGGCGGACATTAAACAGATGACCACACTGATTAATCACAAGTGTGTTAAGTGATTTGCAGAGCAAGTACAAGATGTAATGATGGCACCCATTGGGGGGCCAGTGGGAGGGGGACTGACATAGGCTACTGATTACTTCCTCCTTTGAACGACAGTCACTTCCGATCCCTGCTTCGACTTCCTTGATAGTGAGTTCTAGCAGATCTCCTCCTGTCTGTCTGACCACAACCCCCATTCCTATATATTAGGCTCTCACCATTCAGTCCTCAAGCTCTCTCTCTTGATCCTCCCCTGGTTGATTTCATTCCCCTCCCACTACCTCTGGACCACTCAAAGCAAATGAATCCTATACCCCAATCTGTAGCCCTTAACCCTGTCCAGAGCAATACTTCCA